GCTGCCTGGGTTCTGAAAGAAATATGTCCTGAAGCTGTTTTAACTTGCTTTCAAAAAGACAAAGCTGCTGTCACCTATCTCAGCTTGTCCTGCTCTTTCTTGGGGAGAAACTGTTTTGCACAGGGCCAGGTCTGTCTTGGCAATGCCCTTCTGTCAGCAGAGGTGCTCCTGCAAAAATTAATGAGTGAATCACCCTTCTTGGCTAAACTATCTCTTTCTATCTCTGCCCTGCAGCTGTAGGACAAAAACACTGTGGGCTAGGCTGGTAGCATTTCTCTTGTGTTTACGGATTCAGTTTGGGATTTTATGCCCTTCTGTCAGCAGAGGTGCTCCTGCACCGCCAGCATCTCCTCAAGAAGCTAAAAGGGTTGTGCTCTCTGCTCACAGAAGTCTCTGTAATCTGCAGTGCATAATTACTATGTTTTCTGCCTCTCCTAGGAAATGGAAGAATTTGTTCAGAGCTCAGGAGAACATGGCATTGTGGTATTCTCTCTTGGATCGATGGTCTACAACCTAACTGATGAAAAAAGCAATCTGATTGCTGGCGCCCTCAGCCAGCTTCCACAAAAGGTGAATTTCCTTTCAAGTCTGAAACAACTTGCCTTGTTTTTTTGTCACCCCTGTTGTCTTCAGCAAGCCTTTTACGTTCAGACTGGCCTGGTTTTTACCTGCAGAGAGGCAGACTGCTGAATTACTCATGGGGAGTTATGGTGTTTCCCCTTCTCTGAACCAAAAGATGTGGAGGCGTGTCCACAGGCCAAAATATAAAAATCACTCTGAGATTTTTCTAATAAGCACATAATAACTAATCACAGACCTGACCTGGAGTCAAAGCTATTTGAATAACTGGGAAAAGGTATGAGGGTTTGAGATAAGCCCTACATTACATCTAATAACACAGAAGAGCATGTTGCATGCACTATGTTTATCTTAATGTTCTTTTGTTCAAGGTTCTCTGGCGGTACAAAGGAAAAAAACCACAAACCCTGGGCTCCAACACCAGGATTTATGACTGGATACCCCAAAATGACCTGCTTGGTGAGACTGATTCTATCTGGGATGCATTGCACCCTTGGAAAAAACGGCTTCCCCCTTTGTTTTTACACTAAAACAGCTTATTCAGGGAAAAGAATCACATAATGCTTGTGGCTACAATTAGTTTTGCAGCTTAAGCAGCGGAGGTTTGCTCTTGGAGCCTTAATTTCCTAGTCTGCTTCAGACTTCAAGGTGCGTGGCTGTACAAGAAGCATGGAAGAGACAGCCAGGCTGTGAAGAGAGCAGGGAGCAGTGGCTCAAGGCAGCAACTCGAGCTTGGCTCTAAAGAAGGATTTCTAATGCAAAAGCTCATCTTAGCGAGCCTGGTGGCAATTGTCTGGAAGGGCTAAGCACTACCTGTAGGCAGGGGTAAATATCAAAGTAGACGTACTGTGGAGCTGGATTTGGCCTCTGCAGTTCATCTCCTGGGATCATCTTGACTGAAGCAAGGCTGCAAGCAGGGGGCTGTGGTGAACCTCAGACCATGTGAAAACTGTAACCGCACAACAGTGGCCGGGCTGACAAAGTAACTCCAGGGTGGTCTGGAGACACATGCCGATCCACATACTGCATTCAAGTAGCACGTGTGGAAGCTTAGTGTGCAAGCTGTGATGCTGATCCAGAGGTCAGGGCTGTTCCCTTCTCTAGCAGTGCTCGCGTCCCAGTGAATGCAGTCTGCTGTTACACGCGTCTCTCCTTCCCTGTTCCAGGCCATCCCTTGGCAAAGGCCTTCATTACTCACGGTGGGACCAACGGGATCTACGAAGCTATCTACCATGGGATCCCGATGGTTGGGATTCCCATGTTTGCCGACCAGCACGACAACATTGCTCACATGAGGGCAAAGGGAGCTGCAGTTGAGCTGGACTTCAGCACAATGACGATGCAGGACCTAGTCGATGCACTGAAGACAATCATTAACAATTCCACGTGAGTTTTGTTGCTGCCTTACAGGAGGATGAGGTTATTAAAATCTTAGGCTGTTGATGTGAGAAATTCTGCTTGCTCTTCTGGGAACAAAAAACATTGAGCAACTGGAGTTTGGGTTTCAGATGAAAACCATCTTTCATTCTTGAGAATCAGCATCTCTCAGAAAGGAGAGATGAGTTCTTTGAAAGCCCAGAGCAGCTACTGGTTTTCTGCGCTCTCTCTTGTCTTTGTTCTCTGCCTGTATAAATTCTCTGCAGGCTTTGGGTGACAATACCAGTTGTATTATGTCTCCTCTGTCTGGAGCCACAATAATTCTTTCTCTTTACCTCTGAGTTACCAACATCTTCAGGTTATAGTAGCTATACTATATTGGAACAGAAAATGCCACAAATGTTTCCATGATCCTTTTTTTTAAAGGACTATCTGCAATAATTTGGAAAAACTTTTATTTGCAAAAGATTAGCTTTCTCTATTACTGTCCATAACCCAACTTTATGCAGATAGAAGTAAATCCAGCCAGTTTCAAACAGTTAAATAGCATTGATGAAAGTAAAAGCAGGGCTGTTTACGTTCCTCAAGAGGACTGCCAGCTGCTGAATGGGTTGTTTCAGGAATCAGTGACAAATCTTGGTTTCTCCTGTTTTCCCCAGCTATAAGGAAAATGCTCTAAGGTTATCCAAGATACACCACGACCAGCCACTTAAGCCTCTGGACAGAGCTGTCTTCTGGGTTGAATTTGTCATGCGCCACAAAGGAGCAAAGCACTTGAGACCAGCCGCTCACCATCTCACCTGGTACCAGTACCACTGCCTGGACATTCTGGCATTCTTGCTCACCTGTGCGGCCATTGTTGTCTTCATTCTTGTCAAGTGCTGCGTATTTTGCTGTAGGAGATGTGGCAGGATTGCGAAGAGGAAGACAGACTAGACATCCTGATCCCATCAACACTTTTTTTTTCTTCCTAGGTTGATTCAGCAAGGCATTTATGCACATTCCTTGGTGAATAAAATTATTGGGATATGCTTTAAGCTGGGCATATCATGAAGCACCCCACTGAACTGGGTCATGCTAAAAAGCTGTTGTGGGGCAGAGCTACTTGCTTAGCCAGCAAATTCCTTCTGACCTAATTAAGAATTAATTATAACTGTGTTATTCCCTGGGCCCCTGTTAGCTGATCACACAGGGTTCCTAGAGTGGTAATTCCTGCTCCAGCTTTTCAGATTTATTTTGGTGTACTTTATATATTTAGCCTTCCCACATGTTGTACTGTGGCTCCCTGAACCTGTGACTAATCTCCTTACCTGAACTCTGTCCTCTCCTATAATATCACCCAGGCTTGATGATTCACAACCAAAATGCCTCTACTCTCAGAAAAGCTCTTTCCAGGTTTGACAGTGAATCTAAGATCCCTGGCTGCTAAAAAGCACCCCTCTGAAGGGCCAACATTATGCAAAATTTGGACCTGCAAGTGGCTGGTGAAGTTTTGTATCATCACATTTTAGCAAATGCACTGACTACTTGGGGGGTGAAGGGAGAACCAAGTACTTAAAAACAGCAGAGAAATTAGTTTTCTGAGAACTAGTTCTCTTTTCTAATCAGCATATGCTCATAGTCCTGCTGCACAGGCTGTCATTCTATCTGCAACACTACACAGGTGTGCAAACCTCTGGTCAGTAGCAGCTTGTCCATCTTAACCTGCAAACACCTCTGAGCCATGCTGATAAATGCAGGAAAACCTCTAAAGATGGACCTTGCCAAGAAGTAACACCACACGTGGGAATAGTGCAATAGTTCCTTACCTTGCCTGAAATTTTGGAGGGAAAATAATGCTGCTGTTGGTTCAGAAAAGAGTGGCAGTAAATGCAACACTCCTGAAGTTGTTCAAGGTGTGCTTACTGACGAAAGCCTACTACAATGAGGCTAGCTTAGCCCTCCTGTCTAGGTAAGGTTATTCCACTATCGTGCAAGCTTACTCAAGAATGAACCTGCTCCAGTTTTAACTGATGTTTGCTGTATTCTGGACGCTGCAGAACAGGCTGAGAAAACATGTTATACTTGTTTCTATAATAAAATTCACTATACTACATTAACTTTTTTATTGGCATTGTCAATAGCTTCAACTTAATGGAACTGCTCCCAAACTAAAGAGGGGTTAGAACAAGACAGCTCTTACTAGTGCTTCTCATGGTAACTTAGTATGCAGTCTCTTTGGGTATGCTGCTCCTACAGTCAGCATGGGATGATATGCAGAAATACACATTGTAAAGACAGAGTAGAACAGAATGACATTCAGGCCTCTGATCTGAAAAGTTTTCCTTCAGTTGTTTGCAGAGCTGGGTGCTCAGCTCTACCATGCTTCACCACTACCAGCCCCTGCGATGCAGCTTCTGCAAGATTTGCTGAGGAGGCAAGGGAAGCTCCTAACATACTCCATAGGCACTGGTCAGACAGGGCTAACATAGGACATGGAAATACGAGAGCAGGGAAAAGCTGGACAGAGGAAGTCCTCTGCAGTCACTTTAAGGAGGTGCTGCTTTTCTATTGCCTACTTGGAGAAATTTCTTATCTGGTACTGAATTTAAGAAGTAAAAAAGAAAACCAACCGAAGCCCCCTCTTCTTTCCAGAATCTGTATATAAAGCAGACAAAGACATCACAGAATGACAGCAATCCATGATGCGTTTCTCCCATTAGACACAGGAATAACGATAGACTGATAAACCTACTGATAATATGCATAACTCTCAGTGCATATTAAGTGGTTTTGAGGAACTCAAACATAGTTCAGCTTCTTGGAGTGTTTAAAAAAATCCTCATGTACTTGCACAGAGGAGGTCAAACTTTTTGCTTTGCACAAGTAAATGTCATCTACAGATGCACAGACTAAAATACACAGCTCAAATTCTTGTCAGATTTAAAACCCACTTGATTCCACAACTGCCACACTGTGGCCAATCCCATATTGCTGTTTATAAAAACAATGACAGCACTCCACACTTTTGAGTTGGAGGTCTTTCAAGCATGTGCTACAACCTGGCTTTACTATGTGAGAAGATAGTGAAGAAAGGTTCTGAAGAAGACCTAGAGAGTCTGGACCTTGCATGACTAATGTGCTCCTGGGAGACAGGTATGATTATGGCTGAGGACAGTGTCAATACCTGGAAGATCATTTGATTAAGTTGAACATTACCTGCAGGAGCTGAGTTAGCTACTTCACTGTGGAAACAGAAAAGCAATTACCTTTTATTTCAGCTGACCTCTTCCTAAATTCAAGCTTCAATCAATTTCATCTATCACAAGACCCCTTAAACTATTTTTGAAAACAAATACTTCCCTAGAACTGCTAGAATCTATCAAAGCTGGCAAGCTTAGCATACTAAGAAATCCGATCTGGAGTTTAATAGTTTCAATAGTTACCAATTTATTTTTATAAAAAAAACTGGTAGCAATGTAGAATACAGCAATATTTTCTGGTTCCACATACGCAGGTTGTGAACATTCCAAGCAACGTGTACATTTTGGAAGGAGACTAGACAAGAGAATTGACCAAAATGTTACTGAACACGGCAGGATTTTTAAAAAAGGTTAAAAATTAGGTATCAATAGTGTCTTCTTAATATTGCTTTCATTACTGAAGACTGAAAAAACACTTGACTTTACAGACAGGGCTAAAAAATGGGGTGGGGAAGAGAAAAAAAAAAAGCTGCTACAACACTGCCATACAGTCAAAAAAAAAAAATCATACTTCAATATTTGCATACTTGATAGCAGCATTCTCCCACTGAACCATGTGAAACTACAGGAAGAAAACATCAAAGCAAAAAAAAAAAAAAAAAGGCAGTTATCCATTCAAAAACTGAGAATGAAGTCACTGAGTTGATGAACACTTACTGAGACTTAACCAGTATCTACATTCTTAGCTGTTTCCCATTCTGCTCCAATAGAAGCATCAAGTTGAGCATCAGCTTTGCACATTTTATTTTTGGCTGATTTGAGTTTTTCCAGTTCATAGTTCACTGCATGCTTGGAATAGAGAGGGGCATTATAAATCCTTCTACACAATGAACTTTAAGTAGGACAGCTGATAATAAAACGTACTACTTGTAAACACACAAAAAAATACAAGCTTTTTTGTTTCAAGTGAGTACTGGGTCCAGATAGATTATCTTCGGTATCTACCTCTTTCACCTCTTTCTCTGTCCCGGTCACAAATCCTCTCTCTCTCCCTTTCCCGATCACGGCCTCTGTCACGTTCTCTGTCTCTTCTAGTATCTCTAGGACGGTCCCGCTCCCGTTCTCGGTCCCTCTCCCGAGGCCTGCTTCTCCGACCGCTGACAACTGCTTGTGTGCGTCGAAGAAAGTCGTCTACTCTCATGTCATAGTCGTGCTGTGATGAAAGGACAGCTCTGTTTATTTTCTTTCCCAGATTAAAATATCCTCCCTTCCCTTATCCACAGGACTGGTTGTTACTCTTGAGAAAGCCCAGTATTTTTTTATAAAAACAAAAACAAAACAAAAAAAAAGGCCAGCATCCATAAGCACCATGTCTGTGCTTCCACTCTGCAGAAGCTGGGGTTCAAATGCCAGATACCAGCAAGAGACCCAAAAGCTAAGGAGCATTCAAAGCCCGCTAAGAGAAATTATTTAACAATCTGCTCTGGTTTTGGATGTGCCTTTAAAAACTTATAAAACACAGACGTTTCTGCTGATAATGTAATTTGCTGTGCATGAGCACAAGCAATGTTACAGACGTGTCCTTATTCAAAGTGGGCTATGTTGTAAGCAAACGCCTCGGTTTAAGAGTATATTCTCAGAATTTTGCATTTCTACATCACCTGTGAGAGAGAGGCTTTTCAAAGATGCTGGAATTCTCTAGTCAATCTAAATAACTTGATCTTTCCAAGGAAAAATAAACTGCTCTTTTAAGACCTGTATTTTCAAAGTCAACAAATTTCAGGTTAGGCTATGTCTGTACCCCAAATGCCTCCCCTTCCTACTCTGGCCTGCAGACTTGTCTCTCCCTCTGCCTTTGTGGACACTTACTACTCGTTTGTCTCTGTATCTTGCTTCATGCGGTACAGGGTGATGTCCTGAGTATGGAGGATGAGCTTGAGGTGGAGGTGCATGGTGCTGATAGTAAGGGTGGTGTGGTGGCTGCTCCATAGCTGGATATGGTGGCTACAAGAAAGTTACAGGAAGTTTGTTGAGTGTTTAAAAAAAAAAACCAAAAAAACAACAGGAATGCACACACGGCTGAGCGCTGGGAATTAAGAGTGGAGGTTACTTTCCTTCAGATAGAAAACATGACATCTAAATATATCTGATCACAGCCTCCTAACTCAACAGCAGAATATTTTTCACAAAGCAGGCATGCTTCACTACTTCTCTACCATTGCTTTTGCAGAAGTTTGTCCAACACCCTCCTGAAACCCCAAACGTGCCTTCTTTCCATATCTGCCTCAGAGTGATACTGTAGATAAACTTCTGCTACTTAAAAAACAAATAAACAAAACCCCACAAACCAAACAATCACACTTAAGATCTACGCACATGGGATGTGAATTTTATCCAAACCAGCAAGCTCTTAACAGAAGCGAGTCTTTTCAGTGCCATTCCTTATGAATATATTCCTATCTTAAATGAACAAACTTACTTGGCAAGACAAATTATTTGACAAAACACTATAAGATTTTTTTTTTTTAAATAAACAAGACATCTCTTGGTTTTTCTCTTCCACCAGGGTTTGAATTAGATGATCTTTAAGGTCCCTTCCAACCCAAACCATTCTATGGTTCTATGATCTTTTCAATCTGCAAGGCCTTTCTTTCCCATATTACCAAATCATCTCTGCTTGCATTGTTGTTCAAAAATGAAGCAGGTGGAAGTGCTGGATTTGAGCATGACTACTTGGACAGCATCCAGAATGGGTAAGAGGGGGAGAAAATATGGCAGTATCTGGAAGCCTAGCTGTGTTTGAAAACAACATTTTCCTCCCAGTCTGACAACTCTGTTCACTTCCTTCATTATGACAAACCAGAGTTGTGTTTCAGCTGCGAAAGATGAGAGGCTATAGCAGCATCTCTACATCTGGCGATGCCTTTTGCTCATTCACAGCATACGCGAGAGCCAAATGACTCGTTAACAGTCATCCGAAGCCAGGATCCTCAGGGCCAGAATTACTAAATATAATCAAAATAACTGGTTATAATGACCGTTCCTCCTGACAAATGGATGGCAAAATCACAGCTGGATATAAGCACAAGTCAACCATCAGTTAATTTCCACATACATAGCTGTATACACATGTACTCATACATGTGCTCATCCGACTGGGAAAAAATTGCCTTTCAGTGGAGGCTGCAATACAGCAAGACTTATTTTGATCACACTGTGCAATCACAGCGTGTCTGCTGCTTTCCTGCATGCTTCACTGCCACAGCCAAAAGCAAGCCACTGCCTAACACCAGAGCACGCCAGCCCGTTCCATGAGCCTCTGCAGCAAGTCCATCTCTTTGATGTATTCGCTGTTTGAAAGAAAGCCAATTACTATGAATATTTAGGAGAACATAAAGTTTCATCACACCCTCTTGTGTGAGCTAAAGGAAAGTTCAGCTGTTTCTTCAGAGCTTTCGGTTTCTTGCAGGTTCAAAAAAAGCCAGTTCTGCCGTAATGCTTTCTAGAATGCTGGACTACTGCTGAGAGCTAAGTAAACTACGAAATACTTGATTTAAATAATTCTTCCCCTAAAAATTTTACATAGCTACAGCAAAGATACATTTTATGAAAAGGGAAGAGTTGAGTGCAGATCAGATATTCTAGGCTCCTCCAGAGGGGAACAAAAAGTGCCGTATTTTATACAGAAAAATTTAATTCAACAAGACACAAACCATTCCTTGCCATGGTGGTGGTGGTCCCATGTTGTGGAATTCCCTCACGTAATCATTGTAGGACTAAAATGAAAGACAATAATATTAATATTTGTGATGTGTGTTCTCTGGAAGTGCTGAAAGCTGAATATAAAAAGCTCGCCAAAAGTCTGCATGCATCAACTTACCCCATTTAAAAATACATCTCGTCGAACTCCTGAAAATCGTCTGTTGGGAATAAAAATTTGTAGAACTAAATCCAATTTATCCATACAGAAAAGTTACCAGGGCATAAAATGAATAGCATGAACACACCTTACCTGTCTACTTCAGGATATCTGGGATCCTTTATATACCCTGTTCGAACATCAAGCAGTATTAATTCAATTTACCATCTCATTATGACAGTCTTAAAAAAATACAAGAAACTAGACACTGTCCTTTCATTTTGTGCCAGCTACAAATATGTATCTACCTGCCATTACCCTCTGTTTCAAGATAACTCTCAAAAACTTACAATTTCTTGTAGATAGTACAGAAGAAAAACAGTATATTTTCCTAATAGGTTCTGGATACAATGCTACACAGAAAATTAAAAGCAATCTAAAAAACATCTGGAAAAGCCCCACAGGGTGAAGAACTGTTACAGCTTTGGTACATCCCAGGAAGTAAACGTTTAAGGGCTCAATAAAATGGTGTAAAACAACAGGCATACTTCTGCTGCTAATAAAATAATGCTTCTGAGCTTCATAATTTTAAAAAAAAATTTGTTCTGTACTCTAAACAATAGTCTTGGAAAGCCAGGGAGCAGCAATAACACTCTTTTTGCATCAAAGAACACAGGCTTTGTAGTCAAGCTGAGGACATAAAGGCAGGTTTTTAAAGAAAGATCTAGAAATCTACTACAGAAATAATGGGATATGCATTTCCAATAGCAGTGAAGCAAGATTCAGTAGATTACAGGTGACAATATCTTAACAATTGCTTTCTGAAGAAAAAAAATAATCTGCGACATTACCAGTGTTGTTGCTGCATTACTGCTGCAAACATTTCTTTCTGGTGAACCACAAAATCGCTTTCTCAAACCCATCATTAGACCCCCTTGTAAAACACAGTGAAACTTCCCCCTCCCTTCCTCATCTCAAACTTGTAAAAAAAATTATCTCTGAAAACATAATCGAGTGTCATCTCTGAACACACGCTGCTAGTCAGGCAATCTCTGCTGACTTTCCCAGTTGGATATTTCTGACAAACATTTTAATTTGACCATTACCACACTGATGAGTAGGTCAAACCAATTCAGGCATTTCAACTCCCCATATTAGCAAAGCACTTGAGAGCATCACTCACATCAACGTACGCAATTCTGAGGCTCTCAAAAGGGCTCAGCCTGGATTAACTCAGCTCTCTCTCCCAAACCAGCAAAACAGTGTCACCAACTTGTTTGAGAGGTGGGTTAAACCAGCAGGCAGCACTTGGGACATGTCATGTCCTTATATCCCAGTTGTAACAATATTTTACTTTTTAATTTATGAGGATGCACTAAAAGAGAAAACACTTGTGAACTGGTGCACAGAAATCTTCATAGTAAGATATTAACCTGGTCTTTGGTGAAACTCAGGGGGATAGTCAATCCTTGGTTTCTTTCTGCTGTTATGAATATCATAATCTTCTGGTCGACGCCTACACAAATTAGATATCAGAGATTAAACAAGGTTGCTTGGAGCATTCGTCACAGCAGAATACCTCACAGGAATAGCTTGAGCTGCCCAGGATCTCCATTTAATCATTCGGAATTCCAGCTGCTTCAAAATGTTCTACAGCTTTAAATTTGAACTCCAATAATCAGCAACAATAGTCCAATTCGATTCCCTTCACTGTTACTTTCTGGATACAGGGGCTTTGGTAGTGAAGGAAGGAGCTCCACCCAACTGTACCTTCATACCAAACCAAAGGTGACAAATTTGTCTAAACCAAACTCAGGCTTAGGCTTTAACATTACACTTTCCATGTTACATTTTGAAACAACCTGCTGGATAACAAAATAATTTACAGAACTAAATACAGTGAAAATAGATAGCAAAATATATCATTACAGTCAGAAGGCACGGGCATTGCCTATTTGCTAGCTATGGGGTGAAGAATTCTATAAAAGGTCTAGTTCCATAGCATTTACAAATAAAACACTGCATGCTTGGTGAAACTGCTTCTTCCACTGTACACTAACTAGGCAGGCCAACGATATTATTTCTAACAATTTCTGTTCCAAGCAATTTACCAGCAATGCATTGGTGCCTTACAGAGGTTTAAGAACACTTAAGCGTCCTAACAATTAAAATAATTGGGGCTCCTTTCTACACAAACAGCTCTTTTATGGAAAATATAGTAACTTTAAGAACTTTGCTCTCAGGTAGGAAGTCTGCTTATGAAACAGTTACATTCTGCTTGCTGTTATGTTTAATAATGAACTAACTGCTAACTTTGCTCTGTCAAGGTACACAAACAGTAACAGGAGACTCCCATGCTAACATAACAGTGTTTCTAAACACAAAAGCAGCTACAAATCCAGTTCCCACCCCTGTCCCTCCCACACCCCCCCCCCAATATAATTCCTTATGACAAAGACAAAAAATTAACACTTTCTTAAACTGCTTAATTACTGTGCAACTTGCTGGCTGAGTAACAAGCTTGTGTAGCTTTTACTTTTATAGTAATTTATCCTCCCCCTTCCCAACTTCAGTCTTTAAAGCCCACCATACCCACTTACTAAACCTTTTAAAACAAAAGCAGACTCTTTACTATGAGCAAAAAGCCCAAAAACCAAAGCAGTTGCACCTACAGCAAAATTAGATCAAGGAAAATAAAAGCTGGTGTAAAGAATAAACATACCGCTTTCTTGTAGTTTTGAGAGTGCATTTACGACCGGTATAAAATATGATAGAACCAGTTCATATGGTAGTCCAACTACTGACTTTAAGCTGTAAGCCACACACATAAATGGAGGCCCTGGCAGGCTTGAGAAGGTGTGGTGGTGTTATATGTATAGTTTGCAGTCCATTGCAAAACCTTCACTTGTATATACTTTATTGCACTGGAAACCTCTTAGCTTAACTTCAAAAGCCATCTTGGTGTTCAGTCCTTTAAAGCCAAAAATAAGGGGGCGCTGCCAGGTTTCCTCCTACCTACTCGTTACAGTGTCCTTTGTTTAAGCTCAAGGAAATGGGGACTCTTGTTGGGTATCTGTACCTACCACAGGACGTTTCCACAAAGAGGAAACTTAACCAAAGGTTTCAGCCCAAACCATACATCAGTCTGTATGCAAAGTGGCTACATGGGGAAAAGTTGTTTGGCAGAAGAGCTAAGATCAGTTCTTTGCAAAGAATTCTCCAATTCTGTAACAAGTTATACCCCCTTTTTTTTCTCTGGAAAATGATGTTAAGTTCATATAGCAGTGATCAATAACCATGTCGATCCTCTAAAAATACTTTAAGTCCACAGGTACTGCCAGCATCTGGAAGGGTCGTATATACAGACACAGCAACAGCCATTCTTTTTGGTTTGTTGCCGGGTCTCCAAGGGCCACTTGATCCCTTTTGGAAAGAACCTACTGTTTGCAGAAGCTCAGCAAGATGTGTGAATTCAGTGGTTACATGTTAGAGAATATTTGGCAATGGGGTTAACACATCACGGTGACACAATTTGAAACAGTCCCAATAATGCTCCTCTTGAATATCAAAATAACTTAAATATTTTTATCCTCAAAATGAGGCGGCATCTTCTGCAAAATTCTAAGTGATCCTTATAAAAGTCCCATATTTGATAAGGCTTATCCAGAGACACACCTGAAAGAAAAGGCTTTTACAAGATATTAACACATTTTTGGCATATAAATATTTCCTTCTCTCCATCTAGCCTGCTCAGAATTAAGCCAAGCTTACCCACAGCTAGCATCACACGTTGCATTAGCTCAATAAATGATCTAGTCTAAACTAGGCAGCACTTTAAGAGCTTTTTTCTGCAAAAGCAAAGATCCCCATTTTCCTCTTGAAAAATGACAGACTGGGCAACCATGTGAAATCCTCAATGAAGCCACAGACTTGTCCATGCAGCTTGATTTGAGGATTTTCTCTCTTCTTTATCGCAGGGAAAGCTTTGACGAATCATATTCCTCCATCACGTTATTCTGATACATGTGCCTATTATCAGTCCAAAGAACGTTTCTAACCTTCCCACATCCCGAACAGGGTCTCGACGGGATGGGCGTCCTCTTGATCGGGGTTGTGAGTGCATTCTTCTCTTGTGCCTCATTTTATGAATGACTTGATACAAGTCAATACTTTCATCAGGAGGGAAGAGAAGACAAAGTTGGGTTCCACATTCCGGCTCAATTTCCTAGAATTAGTTAGAAGTTCAGTAGCAGTTTACAAATTGAAGAAATGAAACTCTCCCCAAATACACTGACAAAAAAAAAAAAAAAAAAAAAAAAAAAAGACATTTTGAAGAGATTTCAGTATCACTCCAGACAGAGCAAAATTAACTTACATTACCTTTCACTCTTTAGGGACTACTTAGAACTTTCACAAAATAGTCCAACACTTGGGGCAACCATATCTTCCCATGAGACACACACGCCACATCACTGTTTTGCTAGAAAATCAGAGGACTGTTTTTCATCACAAACAAAATTATCACCTATTACAGAGAGAAAAGTAATACACGTAGGAAAAAAAATCCATCCCAGCTTCACATACAAAGCCGTGGCCTGATGAAGCTGACTATTACCACCCAAAAGTGAGTTCTTCAGTGTACGACAGGTCCACAAAAACCCTGGCTCAATGCTTGCAAGCAGTCAAAACAAGCAAATTGCATGTTCAGGATTATTAGGAAAGGAACACAGAATGAGAAAACCATTATACCACACTGGAAGTCCATGTTCTACCCACACCTTAAACACCGGGTGCAGCTTGGACCCCTTCATCTTAAAAAAAAGGGAGACAACAGCAACAGAAAAGCTTTAGAGCAGGGCACCAAGGATAACTCGATGAGCGCAACAATTCCTACACGCAATGACTGAGCTGGTTGGGTCTCTTCAGCCTACAATAAAAGAGGAATACGTGAGGCACAGGGGACAGGACAGATACAACGGGAGTGTCTGACACCATGAGTTGCTTGGAGGAGAAAGGGACAGAGATCAACGTGTTGACTCCCTCTTCCGGTACAAGAACTCTGGGCCATCAAATGAAGCTAGAAGGAGCCAGGTGCAAAAATGTGCTTCTTCAACCTGGTGCCTAGCAGGCCTGGGGAACACCTTCCCAAAGGAGCTCATACATGCAAGAAGCTCAGTGTACCCATCCTCAGACGAGAGATCCATTCAGGGTCACACAAAACATAATTGGATACATGACAACCACTTCAGCAAAGAACTCAAGTTGAAAAGCGGGGAGAGCAAGCGTTAGACAACGCTAGCCCAGTATCTAACAGTACAGCAATTTTACAAAAAAAGGTAAAAATCCACATCTGGACTGCAACTCTACAGTGAAGTGGACAAAACATGCAAAAATATATATTTCCTTGAACATATAACAGAAACAAAGTTGACTGATTTTTTTTTTTTTTTAAGGTCACACTAAATTAAAAACAAGATAGAAAATGCCATTTTACTTCTGCTACCCAACAAAGTGAACATGCCTATGGGCCAAATAACGCATAGAGTTTACATCTTCCAGAGCATACGGGGATTACGCAACCTCCCATCCTGCCCTAAGAAAGCAGAACCCTGTATTTTAGTCAAGGCTGGGTTACTTGACGACAGCAGCAATGTACCTACACTCTGGTATGTCTGAGAAGACAAAGAGCCACCCCACTTACAATTTACTCAGCATATATTTTATAATGGTAGAACCTATGCCCTAAGCAATACAGCAGATAAAAAAAGCGCAACGCAGAACACAGCTGGAAACACCAGGACTTGTTCTTTAAAAATTGATGCTGTATAAGTTTGCACACCACACAATGCAAGGCACGTTACACTTCAAACCCAAAATATCACACAGTTTTGAAGCATCAAACACTGCTTATCACAAGGATGACAATAAAATTGGCACCGTGTTGTCTTCTGTCTCCTTCTTCCTCAACAACGTTAGAAATAAGCTGAGCGCCTTTGTCACTGTGCTCTACTGTAACTGATCTAAAACGATTCCAAATCTTCTGTACGTACAACACTGAAAGCAAGCACTAGAAGATGTGGATTATAGAAAAGAAAGGTTAACAAACCTGTCCATCGCGTCCGATCTTTACAGGCTTATGTTCGTTCCAAGGATTGGTCAGGTGAGCAGACTTAGTGAATGGCAATTCACGCCTAAATATGCAAGTAGCATCATTTATAGTTTTGACTCAATTTTTTGTTAAAAAAAAAAAAAAAAGCATGCAGCAGGACATTACATACAGAATTATCTGGTTACCCTCTGCGCTGTCAGTTCTCCGAATTAATGTATTAGCATGTATTATGTATTAAAAACAGAAGAATCGAAGATTTCACTTTGACTTATTCCAATATTAGCTAGCATAGTCCATACTATGACAGCCTATCTTATTAAAGAGATTTTTTTTTTTGCCTTTGTACAATATTAAGATCATGCTTGCTTATTATCTCACCATCTGAATATGCAGATCAGTCTCTATGTGAAGTGGCAGCTCACAGTACTGACTGAAATAAATCCCTGAGCACCTGACCTAACTATGAAGCCAGACTCACTTTGAGCTGGAGGCTGGAGTCAGTAACTTCCAGAGGACCTTCCAACCTAGATTTTTCTATAATTTGAAGCATCACCTTCCCTCTATTCAGTCTTTCTGCCAGCAGAAGTGCTTGTGCAACCATCAATCAAGTGTTTTGAAAAAAATCTCTAAAGTAATTAATTGTCCACCTTTAAAAAAAAAACTTCTGTAGTGCATGTCAGGTACAGACCAGAGTCCGTAACTCAGCAGCATGGAGGCACGGATGTGGGGAGGCTGGAGGACAGATCTCCGGTTGAATCAAATTGTCAAAAGGATGTTGTCAGCACTCAAGCGAGTAACACACAGAAATGATATTATAATGCCTTGTTACTAAATGGCAACAAAAACGAACAATTATTTACCTGCAAATCCAGTCAATTTTGAAGACACCTCCCAACATTTTTGCACTCATTCCTGCAGGCAGCACCCAGTGTATAGGTGATCCTCCATGATGGGACTCTGAAGACAGTCTTGCAAATCCTGAAGGATTTCACACGAATTGTAACAAAGACACAACAGAAAAGCTAATGCACATAAAACGGACTTTCACTAACCTCAGTAACAGCTCACTTTCCCTTACCTTGGAATTTGCCACTCTCTCTTACAGAAAATATCAAAATAACACTTCTTGCTGATCTGAAAGCAGCATTAAGCTTCTTCTCATTCACTGGAAGTGTTGACCATACTCCCTAAAACAAAATAACCCCACCCCAGCACCAAAATATAAGAGTTAATCTCAAGTGACGTAGCTAACAGAAGTATGTATTTCAGATGACAAAAACAAGACCAAACTAGTATTCTGGGATAGAAGAGAATGGAAAGAGAAAGCTATTGGTAAATTCAGTTCTTTCAGAAAATATATTTAGCCTGCCCCATGATAAAACTTCTAAAGCATTGTCTTTTCAATCTTGTTTTGAACACTGCAGATGCATTTAGACCACCTATAAGGTTTCACTTGTAATTACAACCATGGACAGATAGGCGCAGAATGGATATACTCCAAGAGCTAAAGCAAACACCACTCTGAATGGTGTTTATTGCACAGATCAGATCCAGAGCAGGGGGAAAGCCAAACCTGGCCAGGAATTTTAAGATTTACATAATCGTTTTAATGCTAATCTATTTCAGAAAATCTTCATTAATAGAACCATCTACTCTGCGTATATTGTGTAACAGTAAATCAGCTATTTTCTCTACAAGCTGTTCCAAATAACACATGCAAATACATAGCCACCAGCACTGCCAGGCAGACATTTCTGCAATAAGGCTTCATATTCCTGCATCAACTGAAAAAAATTACTTTTACAGCATTAGACCAACGCCCAAACGACCTTCTGAACCTGATCACTGTACAGCAATATGAACACAGGTACTGATAAAAGGGAGAAAAACGCCATCACAGCATTCCCAACATAGGCTGGCTTGGGACATTATCAAACAGACCTCCAGGCCCCTTTTTAACCCTACTCTTATCAGGATAAATGAGTGATGGCCTAGAAACTTTTCTAGGTTACGGTGGAAGCAGAGTAGCTAGCCTTGAAGAATCAAGGAGCAGTAGTTTTCATCCTTGCCTCTACCAAGATCTGAGCGATGGAGAAAGAAGGCATTTATCAATATGCTTTTCCACAGTAAGGGGGATCTGTCTGAAAACAAAGCGACCAGTTTGAAGAAAGTTCAACATACCTTTGCTTTAGCAAGCGATACATTTTCATGGTTATTACTCTTGATGAGAAAGAATCTTGCATCTTGGAGAATGTATTTAAGTTTACTTGTTTGGTCTGAAAAAACAAAGTGTCAAATAAGCTGAACTGTAAATATTTACAGTTGTCAAAAATGTTGCTTTGAGTATAGACAGTTGTTTGTTTCCTTCAAAATACACTGTAACCCACCCAGTTACTGCCTACTTTATTATCGCAATCAACCACCCAGCTTGAAACTTGAAATTTACGCTGTAGAGCACAAAACACCATGGGAAACCAAATCAAAACTAAAACTTAAGATATTCAGGTAAGAAAAGCATAAAATAAGATTAGCACGATTCAGTGATGTTCCGATATACAGGACTTATTTCCTTGCTTAAGAATCTTTGGATAAACAGTGGGTAACGTGTATCAACAGGAGTCACCCAACAGAGGATGGTAAAATGTTCCTCTTTTCAGATTTAAGCATTTAGGTTTTTGCTTTGCTGCCTCCACAAGGAGCAACTGAACTTTTTTCATCTCGCTCTCAACACATGCAAAAGTAGCTCAACGTTCACTTGTTAAGCTCAGAACAATTCTGTGCTCAAACTGATTTATATCGGAACATTACTACTTACAGGTAATTTAATGAACAGAGACAATGGCTTGCTATGGGGCATGCATTAAAAATTCAAATTTAAATGATACCTTTTTGGACAGCACGAACGGAAGATGATAATTTCTCATGCTTCTTTTCTGAACCTGTGTTTAGCCAAAGTACATTTGTTCAGATTGAGCCTTAATAGAAATAATATACAATTTCTACAGCGTTGTCACATACAATTTTCATTCATGACAAATTACGCTTTCCGGCGCGCACCCACACACACAAAAAATACTATTCAATGCGCACGAGTGTTTTGGTTTTTTTGGTTTTGTTTTTGGGTTGTTTGGTTTGAGTTTGGTTTTTTAAAATAGTATTTGAACAATTTCCTACTCAGAAAACTAGTCACTGAATCATCATCTTCCAAGTTAAAAAAAAAAAAAAAAAAGAAAAGTGAAAATTCCACTTAAGCAACAGAAGAGCATTAAAGTAACAAGAAAGCCTACTTCCCCCCAAAGGTATCCACACACAACATGCCAGAAGTCAATACCAAATTATACAAAGCCACATACCCCATCAATCTCTACAGCCAGTTACGTTTATTTTAGATTACATATTAAGATTTGATGCAAGTCAGGATGACAAGCAATAAAAGGAAAGAATACCTGCATATGACTCTGATGCAGAACTTCCACTTCTGTCGAAAACAATCGGAGAGATACCTCTAGCTCTCTTCCTCTCCTTCTTTTTCTCATCTAAAAAACACCCATAACAAACAAAGGCAATATTTTAAACATCTAGTGGCAAAATTGAGATAAAAAGTACTCAGACAGGAAAATAACATATGTAATGGTCCAGTTAGCATTTGGCCTGCATGTGAAAATTCTAGTCACTGTCCCAAAACTATCATGCACAAAAGAAGCAAGTGCTAATTACTCAAGCTCTTCATTCACAAAAAGAAGACAAACACCACTAATCTAGCAATTCTGTGCAAAATTTAGAGACAGAATTAATCTCCTAGGTGTTTTACTACAGCTGGTTTAGCTCTTCTCTCCAGCCTCCAGCCAAATTTGCAAGACAGAGCACAAACTCTTGCGACAGCAATATGGGCTTGTTTGCTCTGAGCTCAACAATATGGCAAGAGGTATGAAAATAAAATGCTGTGGCACACAGGCAATTATTTCCACTCTCAAAAGAATTTTTATACTGCGGAGCTTTTTAGAGCAATAATTACAGCATCACTTGTCATTAGGTTACACCTTTATCTTCTCTAATTCCAAATGACAGAGCTGAGCCAAAAAAAGGGCATTATGTTAAGCAGGATCATCACCTATGGAGACTTCAGACAAGGAAGAAGAATCCTCAGACAAGAGGAATCTTAACAGGATTGCAAGTGTCTTTCTTAAAAAAAAAAAAACAAAACACCAACAAAACAAAAAAGAAACACCCCCCCAACACAAACACAAAAAACCAGCCAAAACGAAAAGTCTACCGGTTTCTCCACTGTGCAGCAATTATAATACAGAGATCACCTTTTTCAGAGCTTCCTTGATCCAAGCCCTTTATTTCTGCTTGTACCAAGACAACTAAGGGGAATCAGTTCAGCTACACTCAAGACAGGTTTGCATGAACCTGAAATGCAGTATTTATGTCATTAACAGTTCCTATCTGTATGTTAGGACCAGTTATAATATACAACTGCAAGGCATTTGGTCTCTAGTTTCTGCTTAAAATATTTCTCTCTTTCCAAGTTTGCCCTAATAGCAATAATTTCAACTTAGGTTTAGATCTCCTATGCTGAAGTGAGCCACGAGTTAAGGCTCAACTCCCCTTCCCTGGGGAGACAGTGCTTTCATTATACCGGTCTACCCAGCCACCCATCTAGATGAATACAGAACAGCTTGACACCAGCTTAAAATGAATCGTATGGGAAACTAAGCCATGAGATACCCAAGAAAATATTAACTCTAACGTTTCAAAGCATTGACCAGCAAGGTCAAAGCAATCAAGAACAATATAAATCTTCACCATGGTAATCCTGATATCCACAAGTTCTGGGGCAAGGAAATACTACCTTGCAGTACAATTTTTCCTTGCCTATGATATTTCCTAATTAACATCTTACTGACTTGTGCTACACTAAGGCTTACCTTTGACATGGTCAGTAAGTGGTATTTTTACAAGTAGCCAAACTTTCAAAGGCAAGGTGTTTCCTATTAACAAGCTACACGTTACCTACCTGATGCATCTGAACCAGAGCCAGATCTGACTGACCCATCTGTGAAAGAGGCAGATTCAGAATCAGAATCACTGGCTTCACTTCGTGTGTCATAGTCATTTCCTTCCTTCTGATCTCTCTCATCCTGTTCATACTCTTCTTCATCCTCCTCCCCATCTTCTTCCACCTCTTCGTCCTCCTCTCCTTCATCATCTTCCTCTTCTTCCATTCCTTCCTCCTCATTCTCTGTATTGCCTTGTTCAGAGGAGCCGCTACTGCCAGTCTCGTGATCTGAACAATATTCCTCAGAGTTCACCTCTTCTTTAGAGGAATGGCTGGATCTGCTTGGTCTTCTATCCACATCATGCCTGATTCTCTGATGTTTAAAGAAAAAGTGAATCAGCAGTCATACAACATTGTCAGGATGCACACACAGTCCTAAGAGAACATGCCTTATAAAAGTCTCATATAATTGTTTCATTTATAAGGCAGCAAGAATATTTAATACCTCTAAAGCATCTGGTGTAGAAGACTTTGCCCTTCTGTCAATATCCCTCTTCCTCACGCAAGTTTTTTCTGGTTGTCCTTTATAAAGTTCCCTGGAACTGCTCGACATGCGTGTTTTTCGATCGCTCTCTGGGCGCTTGTTTCTGTCAGACCTCTGATACTCCTCATTCTTGTATTCTGATATCGGCTTTCCTTTCGTACTCACTATTCTCTTGTTATTGCTAACTGATGAACTAGGAGGCTTTGACAACATCTGCCTCGATGAATGCATGGAAGGTTTTTGTCTCTTGCTTTCAGCATTCTCCATCCTGTCAGTTTTTCTTTTTGATCCTTAAACAGAAAAAAGATATCAAGTTCAATGTTATTTTGTATATTAAACCAAAAACTGTACAGAGATTCCTACTTTCTCTGCTTTTGGTAATTCCCCTGTCGCAGTCATACATAGCATCTTCCAGTTTTCAGCTTTACAACACCTCTCAAAAAAGCTGATGTTTAAAACGTATGTATTACTTTAAAAGAACACGTAATCCTTTAGGCTTTGGTAGGTGTTTTCTGAATTTTATATATGGGAATGCTACATCAAATGCTTATGGGATTGGCCCACAGCCAATTTAACAACTGAGCTGGAACCAGATTTTGGGATCCCCTTGCTCCATTTCCATTTCACTTAACTGAACCAAGAAGTACAGTCATTTTCTCACAGCAAATACATCCACAAGCCAGACTTGGTAATTCCTTTTGAGACAAAAGGAAACCTCATTAAATGTTTGTTCGCAAAGCCAGAGGAAAAAGCAGATGCTCATGAGATAAAGTTATCTGGAACTCTTTGAATAAGGTTATAGTATCTGCTACTTCAAAGACTTGAACCCTGCTAAGACAGATGTTTTTTACCATTACGTTCCTGTAGGACACACACTAGCAAAGTCACCTACCCTTTTTCTCACTTTTATCTTGCTCGCTGTCGGGGTTATACAACTCATCATCTTGATCAGGAGCATCGGTCAAGATGTCATCTAGAACATTCAGTTCACCATCTGAAAACAAACAAACAAAATTTAAAACCAAATATAAAAAGTCTGAAGATTTAAACTGCAGTAGAACAAACCCAATACAAACACAAACATTTCCTTTAAGGTTGCAGATCTGCCACAAGGCAAAAATTAACGTCTTCTTGATTTATTTCCACAATTTCAGTTGAAAGGATCAAGCAAAGACAATAAAAGAGTATGTCACAGGATGCATTTAGGCCTCTGAATAACGTCCAAGTTGGCTCCTCGTGTCATGCAAGCTTTGCAGGGAAGCTGACCTACAAATGGAAGCTTAACAAAAAGCCTGTACAAAATTTGAGAAAAAGGAGACTAGGACATAGTCCGAGTGTCATAAGCAAAGAGGAGGGACCTCTCAGGTATTAAATTTGGAATCTCACTCTCCTAAACTCTGGAATTCTTAGCTTGTTCCACTTTATATTACTATCATTGATTCTGCTTTCTGTGTTCAGGAAAAGGAAATCAGAGCAAACTCCAAGGATTCAGCTAGTTGACAGTATCTGTAGAAGACGCATTGCGCAGTGGTATAAAGCAGCAGGTAAGGGCTCTGGTGCCAGACAAAATTGGAGTAAAGCAGCAAATGAAGCCCTCCGCAATTTGGCAACTTGTGTATCCCAAAATCCTGAGCAGTGCCACTAGAGAAGTTTTACAGCTCGATATTAAAAAAAGACACAATCTACACCAGAAAGAAAAGTTCCTATTACAATTGTATCCCTACTATATACTACTGAATCTGAAGTCAGCATGCGTGCCAGCTTTCCTGCTGGCATTTCTCCACATTTTCTGTGGCAGGGGAATGCAGAAGCAGTGCCTGAACTGCACAATTGCTGTAGCTGATGCAAAGGAAGTGGTGCAGAGAGAGGCGGATCAAGCCTCTCCCTGGCAGTTTACAGTTAGAGGGCATTTAAACCTAACAGGAAGCTGCTTTGTAATTCTCTTGGGAACAGACCTTTATGTTTGTAGATGTTCACAGCAAATATTCTTGTTGTTCCTGATGAGAAATGTTACTGAGTCAAATTCATGGCTGTGCAACTGCTAAACACGGACTGCAATTCCCTGGCTTGCATTCTGCTTCCCCACAGAAGACTAGGCAAGTTCAGAGCACAAGATTCTGTTACTGGAGACTAATGAAAAAGGAGCACTAGGATTAGAATATTAAACCTACCACCCATCTCAGATGACACAAATTGAACGTTAGCTTTGTTTCCTTCTTGGTGAGGCTACAGCATACTTGAGTAAACTACATTTAACCAGTTACTGCATTCAGAGGTGCTAAGAGACTCACATATCAGCTGGTTCAGAAATAAATGAGAAGACACCAAAAATTCAATTCAATAACCAAGTCTGACACATACTCTCTGATAAATCCTTTCCAGGTTAGGTGGGCTTCATTTATAGTTGGAACCTTAAACAGAAGCAGGAAGGGATTTCCCCCCCTCCCCCCCAGCCCTTTCTGTAGATGCATGTATCCAAATTATTTAAAAATAATTCTTCTGCTTCATTTAGCAGCCTGGTGATGCAAAAAGGGCAACCTGAACACACAGTTTCCAACTCTCACTTGCATCAGGTATACTGCTCAACTGACTCCCACAAGACGATTCCACTCTCTGAACTGTCACTGTCAGTGTTCAACCTGATGAGCTAAATTATCTCAGAGAGATCAAGTTAAGCATCAGGAAAAGTACAAAAAAAAAAGAAAGAGAAAAACGGTAGAGGACAGATCTCTTACAGTTCATCACTGCTGACGGGGGAAGGTCCAAATGAGTCCTTTTCATTACAGACAATCCCAACTGGGCTCTCCTGCAACTCATCTTTTGTTGACTCTGTGGTCTGTTGGATCCTTCCACGAACAAATTTAACTCACCTGAAAGAGCAGGAAAATAACCTGGGGAGGCCATTTTTCCTTTGCTGGCCATGAGAGTTAGATCTATTCAAGGAAGGGTCCAATCAAGAATATGATCTGGCAAACAGAAGGGATAAGACCAGGGGTTTTAAAACTAAATGGATATGCGAGATTTATTTCCACTTCTCTTAAGCCATGAAACAGCACTTCCCTTCCAAAAGAGGCATAGAAATAACACTGCATTTACAGTAGAAATAAGTTCAATTAGAAACAAATGTGCATTCACCCGTGCTATTCAGTTAGAATCAGCCCTTTCGTAAGACAGAAAACTAAATACAAAACATAAAAACATTTCTTGCCTGCTACTCATGACTTGACCACTGTCAGTGATTAAAAAAGTCCCCCAACAAGAAAAACATTCAAGCCCATAAAGGATAAATTATGAGAAGAAATTTAGAGATGACAATAACAAACACTTCCATTTCACTGCTCATCCAGGTGGCAGCTCATGTCTGTTTCAACACAATCTACAATAATATAAGAATCAAACACCAGAAATAACTTTACTTATCAGCTTTAACAAAACCTAGTGGGAATTTTCCATGTGATCTAATTTCACCACAAATATTAAGCACAACAAACTTTCAACACTCTGGCAAAAGACATTTTATGGGCATCAATCTTGCAAAAAGCTTGAACATGAAAGCCATTCCATAGAAATACAAAACAACGTAAATCAGCCCACAACACCACAGCGATCCTCTACCTTTTTTATAACGCTGCTGTCATCTGCACTAACCGCCAAACAGCAATTTTCTATACTTAAAGTTTACTTTTACTTCTTAAAAGCACTGTGTCGTGAGGATTGACTCAAATAACCTCACAGGCAGCATACAGATCACTTCAGTACAGTGACAAGCAGTTGTAAGTGTTCCGGATATACATCACCCTGGGAACATTCAATTCCTTTAATTCCACCTGATTTACCCCCAGTGCCCAGAAAACATAACTGACTGCACAAAGCCGAGCAAAACCCACCAAAATAATATTCCAAATATTAATATAATTTGTCTTCTGCCTGCTAAAGTAACTATGTCCCTCAGCAGAAAATCCTGCAAAAAACCCCACTAGGAATCTAAGCAGAAATAAAGAGAAGCAGATATTTTCTGCAAAAAAGATAACTAGCAGCAACTCGCGGCCTCTACTACTAAACTTACCACCCACTAACTTACTCCGACTCCCGCTGCTCCAGTCACCTTGCCCTGAGCCTCACAGCCGCCAGGCCCCTGTCACCTCCACCATCCCACGCCACACAGGGAGGGTTTCCCCACCTTGCCAGATCTAAAGACCAACCAAAACCATCCTCAAAAAGGGCCTCCTGGCCGCGCCGCCCCTCCACTCTCCTCACAGACGTCTCCCAGGCCCAACATCCCCAACCAAGCAGGCCCGGGGGAGTGGGGATGGCTAAGGCTCGGGGGGAGGAACCCCCCCGTTTTTTTCCCCGCCCGAGCCAACCCCCCTCCCCCGGGCCTAGCCATTGCCCCCACTCCTCCACTCAGGTACCTTTTTCCTCCCGGCTATCAGCCGCCATCCCACCGCCGCCGCGACGCGTCCGGCGCCTAAGATGGAGGCTCCCTCTTCCTGCGCGTAACGATTCCCCCTTCCCAGCATGCACCGCTTTGTTTACGCGCCAGAGCAGGAGAGAGAGAGGAACGGCGGTGGCGCATGCGCAGTGCGTCGGGGGCGGGGCGAGGGGAGCGCGTGAAATATCGTCCCGCTGGGGACGTGAGGAGAAACCGCCATTTTAGTTGGTTGGTGTCGCTGCCTGGTGGGCTCATTCCTTTGTTGGGAAAGGAGCTATAAAGACGGAAAGAGGTTTTTTTTTTTTTTGCTCTTTAATGTGAGAGAGGCTGAGGTCAAGCCCATGTTGCTTGGTATTTTTGTGCAGCTGCAATGGTTGTGGAGGTGTTGAAGCTTTTGCTGTGGGCTTCGAGTAGGGTAAAGCAGCCATAGCCTACCTTAGTGTTAGGAGCTGCTGTTTCCCAGGTTTGCCTCAGCTCAGTGAATGGCTGTGGTTGCCTGTCAGGTGTACCTGTAGCTGGCTTTTTTTTTGTTTGTCTTTTATTTATTTCCTCAATAAAAAAATTGTTCTTTCTTGTACTTGGTAGTGTTCAGCTTATTTTGTAATGTATCTGTTCAAATATAAAACAAGTGTGTTTTATAAATTAAAGTGTTTTAAATAAATTTGGGAGTAGGGCATGTTTCTTTCCTGCTGTAATCCAGGTGAAAGCTGTTGCCATTTCATCTTCTGTTACTCTTCCAGGCAGCTTGTGAAGAGGCCTGGCTGCTTAAGTGGCCTTTGGTAGCTTATTAGGGCTGTGTGTAACTTGCAACTATCAAGTAAGAGCTCATTTTGTCCACTACGGTATTTTAAATGCTCTTAGCTGGCCTGCTGGTGTTCTGAGATCTCTACTTCCCTTTTTTTTTTTTTTTTTTTGTAACTGGAGTAGTTACATAGCAAGGTGATGAATGCTATAAACTGTAATTCTTGTTTTAAGGCTGCAGATTGTTCCTAGAGTAGTTTGATGGGTGCAGCTAGTGCACTCAATGCGTCTGACTTCTCCTTCCAGAACAATGTGGTTCCAGGATGTTTCACTCATCACATTCAGTGTATTTGCCTGTGCTCACAGAGTGAACAGGTTAGTAAAAATGTCTGGTCAGCTGTTGATTAGCCTACCAAAAATGTAATGACTAAGCACTTTTCCTTTCCAGTGGTGAAGGCTGGCATGCAAAAGGCCCTCTAGAGCCCTAGTTAGTGTTGTGTATCTGTCTTCAAAACTGGGAAAGCAAAGCCCAAAAAGATGATAAAAACATCCCCTGATGAACTGAAATATTTCTGTGGAGTGATGATGGAATTATGTGAATAGGTAAAAACAGTGAGATGATTGTGGAGCTTACAGAAAGACACAAAAATACTTGTTCTTCAGCTTTGTATTGGCTTCTTGATCTGAATAAATATTGTTGTGATGCTACAACTGATTCAGCACTTGCTTGTCCCAGGAGTCTTTATCTGTTTATGTTGTTAAATATGCAGGACTTGACAGTAGTAGTTTTCCTGACACTTAACTTCTTGATTCTGTAGTTAGGAACTGAAGCAATTCTTGCATGTCTGTGTTCCTGTTGCATCAGTTGGGTAAGCCCCCTGTGGAGCGACCTTTCAGTGACTGGCATCACTTTCAGTGACAACAGCTTTATTTAGCATGCATTATTCACACTCAATACTTGCATTCTCTAATTTTACTACAAATTACCCTCTGGTATTGCTTTATTTTTTTTTTTTTTCCTGACCAAAAAAATTGTCTTTTTGCCTGTAGCCCACTAGATGGTGTCTTTAACATGAGTTAAGTGGCAGGGTGCTTGGTCAGAAGGAGCTGCAGGTCATGTCAGTTTGTGTAATTTCTCCTTGAATCTGCAAATGCCCCAGGACAGCTTTGGAGTAAGGCTCTGCTTTACAGCTGAGACTAGTCCTTTTGGAGGGTTTCAAAGCTTTTATGTGGCAAGAAGTTCAAATATTGGTAGCATGTGTTTAGCACCTTTACTGTGGTATATTTTAGGAAGAAAAGAAAAATTGTCCAGTGAGGGTAGTTACTGAAGCTTTTTTAAAAAAGATTTCTTTGTTGCTGTAGCTTGTATAAGTTGAAACTGTGGAGAACCAAGATGAGGTGGGGGTATAACTTCTGTAAAGCAGGTTAGATTATCTAAATTAGATTAAAATGCAAAACCCACTGATTCAGAATTTGTGTTCCAGATCGGAGGACAGGACTTGTTACTGCTTCTGCTCTTCTCAAAAGGCAGACTTCTATGATGCAAGTCAGTGGGGATCCCTTCTTGTAGCTGCATCCTGATAAGTAAGTCTCTACTGATACACCTGTACATTTGGCTGTTGTTAACATGTTTATAATTCCCATAAAATCCTATACCTTCCAGAAAGTATGCATGCAGACCTTTGTAATGCATGCAGACCTGCAACAGTAAGGTGTAGGTTATAAAAAAAAAAATTCTCTACCTTATTCCGATGTGCTTATGCCTAAAAGCCCTTTCTAAAGCTACCCTGTGCTGCCTGAAAGTATTTTGGCTGTCATCCCATGGAAGAAGTTTACAATTAAAAAAATTAAATTATGGTGTGTTTTTTTTTTTTAAGAAAGCTGTGGAGAGTGCTGGGAAATGCTTGTTGGCATAGAAAACCATGAACTATTATTTGTATTTGGTTTAACTTCTGATTTGCGCCTTAAGTAAGCTGCAGGAGGTGCTAGTGCAGAAATACAGTTCCTGTGCGCCTTTTGTTCATGTGCCTTGGTGCTTTGGCAGTAGCGTGCTTCCTGTTTGCAAGGTAATTACTGTATTCTGGACCGAGTCTGTGTCAAGGCCAAGGACTTCAGACAGCTGAGTTTAATTGGCTCACAGAGTTACTGCTATATAAACAGGAAACTCCCTATAGGTATTACTCCAAAATATACTTTTAATTAGTAAGTTGATAACAGAAGATGAGGGGGGGAAGAAAAAGGGGAAACCAAAGTTCTTGGAAGCCAACAAGTTTTTCCCTTATATCCCGAAAGATGTGGGTTTGGCTGCTTTTTCCATTGTTATTCCTGTTGGTGGTGTTGACTGTTTTCTTTCCCTCAGGCTTCCTCCTTCTGCCCTTAGCTAATGTGATTTTTATGCTGATAGTGTTAAGGGTGATATCTGTTTGCCCTGGGTTTCAAGGAGGGTGAGGTTTTTCTGAATAAATAAAACCTGAGAAATGCTTTTGGAAGTGCTTGTTGTGAGACAGACTGACCCTGGAGAGTTGAATAATCACTTCAGTGATAAGATGGCTGAGTTTGGGTGGTCCTATTGATTCTGTTTTTGCAGAGAGTCCTGGAGAATCTGTATTTCATAATTGCTGCAATTTTGCCTTGTTTGAGCACTTTCACTTTAAAGAGTAGACTATTCTTCTGTCACTTGTCTTTTCAAATCCCCTGAAGTAGAGTTAGAAGATAAAACTCAGGCTGTCAGAGTATTTCTGCTGCAGGATGTAGTGACCCTCTCTTCTGTCTCTCCTGTCCCTTGCGCTGCCCCCAGTTCTAACAGTCATCACTGACCTGATTTAAATTGCTAATCTGAAGGAAATCAGTTTTTATTTTTCGTTCCTGGATAACTTTCCAGAATGTGAGTTGAAATGGCTTTTCAGGAGGTAGGATGAACACAGAAAAGGTGACTGTCCCCTTCTGGCAGCAGTGGGTAGTGTTTAGATGCATGCACTGCACCTGCAACTCGGTACAGCTTTGCGGGTTTTCTAGGTCAGTCCCCTACTGCATCAGGAGGTGACAGCATCTTGCGTTTGCCACATATTTTGATCCCAGACCAGTGTGAACTATTTTATTTGCTGCCGGAAAATGCTCTACAGTGGTTATGGCTAGAGGAAAGGAAACACAGGGCCCACTCTGGATCACAGGATGAGAGTGCTGCTTGTCTCAGCTAGACCTTCCTTGTCTGGAGATGGCAGGAGCTGTTCTGGGGTGATATTTTAAGTGGTAAATTTTTGTTCCTTGTGCTGTGTCAGTTTTCCTGGGAAACAAGATGGAGGTGTAAGATTGTAGTTAAGGTCATCCTGGGGCTGTATTTCTCAGCCCTGTTTTTGAGATTTGCATTTGCTTGGTCTGAGTTCAGCCAGGCATTTACAGAACTGTTAGAGCTCTTGCCTGTGTTTTATGGAAGCCACAAGGTCCTAACCGGTTACTGGGAAGTTAAGCATGGCCTGATGCTTCTTGCTGAATCATGTTGCAGTTAGCTCTTGATTGCTAATGAGCCCTATACTAGGAGCTCAGTTTATATGCTATGCTGTACTGAAGGGGTGAGGAATGTATTTCATATTTTCTACTCACTCCCCTCTGTCTGCCATGATTTATAGTTGCTGAAAGGTACGTCTGTTCTTAGTTGTCATCTCACTGGAAGTGTATGAACAATTATTGTGTGGTACAAACTATCTAGCCCAGTAAGACAGGGGTTTAAAGAACAGGCTCGGCAAGACTAGGTGTCTACATGGTACTATGATAGAACCCATCATTAGGTAGATAGCCCTACCTTAACCTGTCCTGAAATAGATGAATAGCACCCTCATGTGAACCAAGGAATTTCTTTGGTCACAAAAATAGTGTACAGGGCTCTGTGCGCAGTAAGCGTTTACACCCATTGGCAGCAGCGTGGTTTAAGGCTGTATGTGATGGACAGATAGCTTGCGATAACATAATGGAGAGAATGCATGTTGAGCTTCCCTGTCCCCTGCCAGCATATTTTTTCTTCTGTTCTCTCCTGTCTGAGGAGAAAATGCAGTTATCCTTTCTGATATTACAGACTTTCAAACAAAAATTGCAAGAGAGGGAACACTGTGTGCTGCTTAGTTACAGATTGTAAAGGTCACCTTTTCCAGCTCTCGCTGTTTGGAGCCAGGTACAGTGAAGGCTTTTGCATGCTGAGAGTTCTGAACATCTCCTGCTTAGTTTCTGGCTGAGAAGAGCTGTTCAGTGTTGGAAGTCTGATTAAAGACTTAATATAATCATTGGGATAATGTTGCTGGGAAGTCATATTTAGAGGCAGAGGGAGGCTTGTGTTT